GTGTTTCAGAAGTTTAAGAGGCTCAGGGCTTGACATTTTGTATTAAGATCAGATTTCCCTTTACTTGGTTTGCTTTCGGGTTTTTTTTTAGAAAAAGAAAAAGTCTAATTTAAATGACAAAATTAGAAAAAGGATTAAATAAAAACAGAGATTTGGGGGGCGAGAGAGGAGGAAAAATCCCATCACTTTTTTAGCAGCACTGATGGGAGAAGAACAAAATACACTTTGGCACTTTTCCTAGAGCCCAGAACGTAGTCACGGAACAGATAGTGGCAGTGCAAGATTGGCCACCAATGTGTCTCAGACACAACCTGAAGAGAACAAGCCTAGGGTCAAGAGAAACTGAAGACAAATTCTGCCAAAGGAGTCTGCAGCTGGAACACCGCCATTCTGCCTCATGGCAATCTAAAGACTCTGGTTACAGCAACATACTTCTGGAATAATATACATCCCCACTGGATATCCAGGACCAAATATTAGACCTACGGAAGAATGTCTTGCCTTGGAAAGCATGTTTAACAACTATGCAGTTGGCCCAATAAATGTCATTACCCTAAGAAACCAATTTCCTTTTGTGTAATTCCTGGGCCACCACAGCTACATCATCATTAACATGACTATTTTTAGGATTAATGTCCTAGATGCCAGAACCAAAATATTTTTTTGGTACTGAAGACTCTGTGAGGCCCCATTTCTCATAAAGAGGATGTCATTAAGCTCAAAATCCCTGTTTGAGAAATACCCAACCAGGTAAGTGGAAGATAACAACAAGAAGAAAAAAAAAAAAGAGCAATTCACAGATTGACCGGGTGTGGCATAGAGGAAAGGGAGAAGGGGCAGAGGAAGCAGCATGGGCAGGTGGGATTTGCTTTTACAGCATGAGTAGCACTTTGACCTGTGCATTTCTGCTACTGAAGAATGCTTTGGGGGTTCATAAAACAAAGTTAATGGCAAACAAGCAGACACAAATGTGCAAGCCTGGCAAAGCTACCAGCACATTTTTCTGCAGCCCTAATTACAGCCAGCCTGTCTCAGGGAACACTTTCTTTACCCATAACTGCAACTGCCATTTTTACTGTTCGTTGTCAACCTGAGAACTCCTGTGCTTGACTCAAAACTATTTGAATATTAATAGATTGTAAGATTCCCGAGCAGCCAGTCACTGCTCTGGCAGGCGACTCATCCTGGAAGTGCTAAACACAACCGTCCTCAAGCCCAACAAGCAGGGCAGGAACCAGGAATAGTTAACCTGAGTCACCAAGGAATTTCCTGCAGCTTTGTGTTTATCAGAGGGAGGTGTAACCTCAGGCAGGCGAGCTACCCCACCACACATCAGTAGCTCTTCTGAGCTTAGAAGAAGCTGTGAGCTTCCCAGAAGTTTCCAACAGCATCCAAGGAAATATAGAGCTCTATAATCAGGAAAGGAGCCTACAGTGTCCTGCGACAGCAGGTAGTGGGCCGCAGACAGTGAGGACTCCCTCTCAGCATGGAGACTGGTCTGACCATGGGAGAAGTCATCAGGATGTCCACCAAAGGTAACCGCAGCTCAGCGCCGCGGCCTCTCCGGGGCTTACAGGAGGCCGTCACGGGCGCAGGTTTCCTGCCACATGACTGCCGGCCCCTTTAGTCCCGGCGCCGGCTGTGGCAGCACAGCAGCGCACGGTGGGGGCCAGAAGCGAGGAGCGCGGACTCGGCCACCGGGAGGCTGCGCGAGTGCCACACGGAGCGGAGCCGGCCGCGGGCTCCCACAGCGGCCTCCCAGCGCGCGGGAGGGGGAAAGTCGCAGCGCGCCGGGCAGAGCACAACGGCCCCAGCTGAACAGAAAGACCGAACCACTCACCACCCGCCGTCTCCTCCATGCTGCGTCCGGCGCCCTTATACTTCCGCCTTTCCCGGGTCACTGAGATTGATGGGGGCGGCCGCCAATAGGAAGGCGCGCTCCAGGCTTAATTCCACCCCTCATGGCCTGTACCGCAGCTCGTACGGGCCAATCAAAGACGCTCGTTGGAACTCAACCCCCGACCTGACCTGCTAACAGACTCGTCTCTCTGCCAACGGCCTCTGCGCTCTGCAGCTGCACGTGACCGCGCTCGAGGCCCCTCTGTTTGACGTCTTTAGATAATCCTCCAATGATGCCGCGCCCTGAAAACTGACGGGACAGAAAGCGAATAGCAAGAGAGCGTACCTGTCTGGTCTCCGGCCCCCGAGCGCGGAGCGATGGGCGAGCTGCCCAACAGCGAACGCGGGCTTGGAGGGGGGGGCGGTACCCTCCGTGGGGAGGGGGGTCGCAGCCAATGGGAGCGGAGGGGGCGGTGCGCAACGGGGATTGTTTATGTCCCAGGAGGGGAAAGTAGGGCACTGCCGGGCGAGCGGCGGCGCAAGGCCGGGGGACAGGTGAGCGGAGCGGGGCGGGGTGGGGCGTTCTGGCCGCCCTGGGCTCCGCGCGGCCCTGCCCCGCTCCAAGACCTCGCGCTGTCCCAGGCCGCGATGGCGCCGTTGCGACCGATCCCGCGTCGGGGCCCGGGCGCG